CCATCGGAGCGCCTGTACCTGATCTCGGATGCCGTTATTTCCGGGTATATTAATGTCATCCGTACTAATAAAACCTATGAATTTCAATGGCAAACAAACACACAAATCAAATATCAACACATATTTCGCACAATATTTTTGTTTAATTTACAAATATTTATAAATATTTTAAAATGTAAAGCATTTTCTGTGAACTTATACCTAAAACTCCGAGTCTATAGTTAACAGTAATGATTATGACACCGGGGCTATCTACCATGGCGGCCTCCAATATAACATCTGGTTTAAAAAAGTCTTTACCACCATACTTAAACTCTCCCCCGTGAAAGTATACGAGCACCGGGAGGTTAGCTTGAAATTGGTTTGGCTACAGGTATATACACAAGTATAATTAATGAGGGGATGGGTAGTGTAAGGGAAGTGGTGATGACTTACAAATACGGGGGTATATATGTTGAGATACAGACAATCCTCGCTTTCAATGATGTCTTCGGTGGGCGTGTATTCAAACCTGTCCTCCACTTGCGGACACTTTACCCTATAGTTTGTGGCGTCCTTTTGCTCTGTCCAGGGGTCGGGATTACGGGGCGGCTGTAGGCAGTCATAAGTGTAATATAGTTAAATGATTTATATAGAAAAGGTTCAGGACATTTTTATGTTACTTGTTAATTATTACACATATTAAAATGCTAGTTCTCAATTAACTATTTTGCTTTTATTGTTAGAGATTTATTTATAGTAAAAGTTAGTGACTTAATAAAGTATTACAAATATCTATTCTGTTTTTGAATAAAATTATATTGACATAATATTATTGTTAACATGTTAAAAAGTTCTAACAAGTAAGACATTTCTGTGATCCAATTAATCATAACAAAAGTTAAATTAATAAGACATAGTTCAAATGAAATGTTAATTACAGCTTATGTTACATTATTCTCGTTAATTTTATTTATCAAATATAATGTAAAATATAAAAACATAGAAATACTGACCATAAACCTATCGTAACCAGTGGGTGGCCGGGCGTAGGGAACACCTATAAAAGCCACCACTTGTTTCTGACCGGCAGTACCGGTGGTTGAATAAGGGTATGGTTTACCCCTTATGGGCCCATAAGCTGTCTGAACCTGAGGGCTATTATAATCTATTTGTACGGATTGGCACACATTTAATAGTCCCAACAAATTGCACAAAATCACTATATTTATCACACTTAATAACATTTTAAATACAATCATGTTTAATTATTTAATTTCACTTATAAATAAAACTTATAAAACTTGTTTAATTAAAAAATAAAAATTATTATAAAAATAAAAGTCTTAATAGTTTTCTTAACATTTAGCAAACTTGTCACAAACTTTTGTTTAACTAATTAGTTGTGAAGCTATCGCACAAATGTTATGAATTAGTGCTAGAAAAACAATTATGATGTTATATATTAGGTTAGAAATTATACGATAACCAGAAATTGTATGATTAATACAAAAGTATGATTTTTATCGCTCCGGAAGTTTTCACACAAAACAACCGCAAAAACAAACAAATAAATAGTAATTTATTGTAACGTTTTCGTTGTAAGCACACAAAATCATAGGTAAAATTATTTTCATGTAAAATTACTTAATAATAATAAAAATTTTAGTTTAGTTTTGTTTTGTTATAATTCAAAATATAATAATTTTATAGTTAGAGTATATTAATAAAACTTGAATATAAAACTTAATATTTAATACTTTTAGGCATTGTATTTACTGTTATCTTATAATAACAATTATATTAAAATCAAATTATAAACATATAAGATTTATCACTCCTATAGTCTTTAAGTTTGGTCTCATTTATAGTAACCTGCTGATTTGACACGTAATTCAGAATTTAATTAAAAATTAAATATATTATATAAATAGAATTAATTATATCATAAAAATGTAAAACATTAAATTAAGTAAACCAACTTATTTAATATAAATTAATTAATTCACATTTATGTTCAATGTAAATAGGACTTAAGTGTATTAGTGATAATAAAATCTATTGTTTTAACATTATTGTTATTATTGTATAGTTGTACAGAGGTATGGGAGATATGGTATGTATAGATAGGTTGGGTTCTGGTTGTCGGGCCAACATCTATTCAATGAATAACTATTTAACTACAGATTCCGGTGCTCTCTGTCATACCAGTGCTTGGATTCTCTCACTTAGAGAGAGAGAGAGAGAGAGAGAGTGAGAGAGAGAGAAAGAGAGAGAGAATGGTTTCATAATATGTTGTAACCACGACTATTGCGGCAAATGATA